GAATGTGAGAGGAAGGAAAGTTGGAGTTATATATTTTTCCTTCTGTTGTTTCTTTGGCTTGGATATGGAATTGACAATGGGAATCGAAGAGAATGACGAATGGACCGAATTCGATAATAGGGTTGATGATATGAATGGATACTGGATATCATGTTTACTTCTACCCTTGATCTTCTTCTAATCTTGGAATGAATTATCGCTAGGGAGATTTGAGTAATAACTTTACGAGGGAAATGGTATGCTTAAGAATAGGAATCATATTTTATCTAGTATTCATTGATTGCTTACTTGCTTGCGCACCTCAAGGGTATAACCATATGATATGTAACATCGCAATAGAAATGAATATCGACGACTTCATGCCACCCACCTTTAACCTCTTCGCTCTACTCATCTTGAATTAAATCTTGGAGAAATATCTATTGTCATGTAGTGTATTGTAAACATGCATAACGTAATAGACCAGGAAGGATTTCTGAACAACCCTTCTGTAGTGATCCATGCTAAAGACCAGCGGAAAAATGCCTCTAAGCATATACAAATCCAACCAGAACTCCAATCCGAACTCCAGCCAGACTCCAAATGAGGTATACAAAACCAAATTTCTATGTCTTCCCCACCTAACTCTTCAAAGCTTGTAATCTTCCTCTCATTTGATTCAACATAGCCTCGGCATCCTCGTCTTCCTCTTCCGCAGCAACTTCCTCTTGTACAGGCGCTGCCGGCAAATTTGGCGTCGCTCCCACCTTAGACATTCTATCCTGCAATATCTCACCAAGTACCTTATCAACCTCTTCCTCCGCCTCTTCATCCTCCTCTTCCAACTGATCAGGCATCATATCCCCAACCATCTCTTCAATAATCCCCGCCTTTACCAATTCCTGACTCAGTTCCCTCATCGTTCCCATCAACTCCGGTAATCGCACCAAACTATTAACGTCCTTCATGATACCCACACTCGCCTTAATACTGCCCTCGATCTTCCTCACCGCAAACGCTTCATTAACTTGCATATTCACACTCTGCAATTGGGCTTTCGACGTGACGAGTCTGCGGGAGGTATTTCGGGTGCGGATTAATTCGCGCGCGAAAATTCGAGTTTCTTGGGCGGCTTGTTTGGCTTGAGAGGGATTGCGTTGGGCGCGTTTGTTGGCGGCGATGATTAGGTTGCGGGTTTTGTTTTCGACGGCTTTGAGAGCGGCGATGTCTCGGTCGAGTTTGCGGGTGTTTTGGCGGATGAGATTGTTACATTTGCGGACCTGGGGAGGATTAGATGAGGGGAGATAGATGGATTAGAGAAACATGAGAATGGGTATGCATGGTATTGATATGGTATGGTATGGTATGGTATGATATGGGGAATATACGCACTTGAACTTGAGGATCGGGTTTGAAGAAGACGGCTCTTATGGACTCCATGATGGGTGTTTTGAATACGATTTACCACCAGAATGGGTTGGAGGTTTGTAGCCGTGTTACTGAATAGAGAAATTGAAGGTTGAAGACGGCTTCTTTGGAAATTTGATCGTATTAGATTAAATCGTTCTAATCTGGGTCGAAGGTTCAATTATTGTAGGTACCTACGAGTAGTAATAAGTGTGATAAGTGGAAGAGTGCCGATAAGTGATGGTGATTGATACGATGTAGTTTGATACATGTCCATGGTAGTGTAGTATACCAGTAGTACAGTATTACTCTAGTTTGGGGTTTAGGTCCAAGCTCAATCAGATGTCTGCGGTTAGTGACGTTGCCTTTTCACGCTTTTCTACTTTTCTACAGGAGCCGCAACTACAACGTGGGGTTAAGTTCTCATTAATAATTAAGAAGGAAGAAAAGAAAGAGAAAACCTTCATTTATCTTATTTGATTCAATTATTTACAGACTTCCATTAATAAATTGAACAGAATAGTAAAATAAGACATATATCGTTAAAAAAGACTATAATAGGAAATTAATTATAATTACAGCATGTCTTGTAATTGTACCGTAAATCAAAGAATGTTTATTATTGTTACTCTCTCCCTACCTACCACTCACTTACCATTCCAATTGTACTTTCCCCAATGTTCTCGCAGGTTCCATACATCTAGCTGGCTCCAGCCTCGTTTGTCTGCACACAGCAAGAAGTAACAAATAGAAAGTTCGCCAATCCTTTCTTTAACCTCCCCTCAATAATTTCTCTCTTCTACAACAACAACAACAATACCAACTCTGTACAAACCTTTTGCTTGATACCCCAATTCAATTTTCGCACCCACAACATCTTCTAGTTCATTTTTCATACAAAAAGACTTTCAATCACAATGGCTGAATCAACACCTGAAGGTAAGCTTTGTTAGCTCTTTTCTTTCTTACGAGTGTTGCGATAAAGAGGTTTTCAAGCTTCTCTACTGTCACAACCTAGAACTCAGTTCTTTCTTGTTACTTCAGCTTTTGCTTGGAGTTTGTGCCATTTCAAATGAATCCCAGTCTTTGGTGGTTTCTGTGGCTAGCTATGTTTTTGAGGCCAATCTGTTGCATCCCACATTTACTTTTTCAATGAGGGGTACTGCAGGCTGAAGCCTCAAAATTCACAAGCAAGAGCCAGTAACTGCTCAGAGCTATTTACTTGATACCACCCATACACAGAGATATATACACATATGTATACTCGGTATCTGAATATCTCACTAATGAATTTCACAAATAGTTCTCTGGGCTCAAAGATCCAACAAGACCGAAGCCGAAAAGAATTTCATCTACTTAACCATCAGCGTTCCCGATGTCAAGGAACCAAAGATCGACCTCAAGTCCCAATCTCTTACATACTCCGGCTACTCCGAGTCTCTCAAGCGTGCATATGCAGTTACCTTGGAATTCTACGAAGAGATCGATGAGAGTGCTTCCAAGTACAATCACACCCAGAAAAACACTCAATTCGTCTTGAGAAAGAAGGAGTTGAAGGAGGAGTTCTGGCCTAGATTATTGAAGGATTCCAAGAAGGTTCATTACTTGAAGACCGATTTCGATAAGTGGGTTGATGAGGATGAGCAAGATGAGGCTCCTGAGGAGGATTTGAGCCAGATGGGTGGCATGGGTAAGTTTTTTGCATTCGATTGAACATAAGGCTGGACAATAAACTAACAGATGATTCTTTAGGTGGAATGCCAGGAATGGGAGACATGATGGGAGGAGCCGGTGGAGACTTCGGTGGTATTGATTTCTCAAAACTCGGAGGAGCTGGCATGCCAGGAATGGGTGGAATGGGCGATGATGATGAGGGCGAAGATGATGAGGATGACGACGATATGCCAGCACTTGAAGGAGAGGAGGAAGCTTCCGAAGCGCCAGCTGCTAAGATCACCGAGGTCGCTTAGATGATTCCCTTTATGACAAATGACTCTCGACATTCATTTCATTCAACTTCATTTCAACAAAGCAGAGATACTATACTAGGAGTTCTGAGATGATACGAAAGAACTTATATGGATATCTTTTGCTCGATTCATCAGAGTTTTTTGGTGAGAGCTAGGGTATACACATAGTGGATTCTTTGGTTCGTTTATGGGATGGAATTTTATCGAATTGCTGAATGGATGCACATTGAAGGAAAGAATGGATGAATATGATATAAAAGTAACGACTTATCTTTTCTTGATTAAAATCGCGTGTGAAGAAGTGAAGTGAAGAGATGATTGTGGATTCGTGACCTTACTCGGAGTGACTACCCAATACTGTAGGTTCCTATGAATCTCTTGCAGACTTGATACTTGTTTTATGCAAGTCATATATGCATTCATTCCTTTACTGTTACATGATAGGCAGTCGATACTAGATAGGCATTGGATACTTAGTGTTTATTCACTCCGTATTAATAGATAGAAGCTACTTATCTAGTTAGCTGTTCTGAGGGGGGGTAATAATAGGGTGGGGAGGGGGAAGAGAGGGAAGGAGGAGGAGAAGGGGCGTATAAACCTTTGGGGATAGTATGAGGAGATGGGATGGAGAGAGTAGATGCTATATTGTGAGATGAGATGCTTGAGATGCTATGCTTGGGTGGGGAAACGAGATGGGAGATGGGAGATGGGAGATGGGAGATGGGAGATGGGAGATGGGAGATGGGAGATGGGAGATGGGATATGGGATATGAGGCATGAGAGATGGGAGATGAAAGATGAAAGATGAAAGATGAGAGATGATAATAAATTATTTATAAATATTTTTCTATTCTATCATGACAATGACATGTACCTAGGTAAGGTTATGTATATTCGGAATGAATGGTAGGGTAGGTGGGCTCGTAGGTAAGGTAAGGTATAATGAATATAGATAGTACTTACTTACTTATCTAGATATCTATATAAAAATGTGAGCAATATCTAGATGTGGATATACATACTCGTTGTACTTAAAGATATATTCGAATACCTAGGTACCTAGATGAATGTATATTCAATGGGCTCGATGGGACAAGAGAGATTCATTCATTCATTGTTTGTATAACTACCTAGGTAGGTAATCTTGGAATGGGATGGGATGGGATGATTTCGAGGAGTCGAGGTAGGTGGGTGGTTATTGGGTTATGGATGTGGATGCGGATGTTTTATCTACTCTATCAGGTAGATACCTAGGTATCTATTATGAAGGTAGACAAGTATCTGGGATGAGGAGGGGATGTACTCCGTAAGAATACAAGTGTAAATAGATTCAGGAAAGGCCAGTTGTAATATTTATTTATTATCCAGTTTATTTCTATATACCTATTTTGTGTATTTATATACTCCTATCAGTACTCTCGTATTCATCTGATACCTACTGATGCTCGTTTTATATACTCCTGATCCGTATCATTTATATGCACATCCGTTAGGTACCTAGGTATTAAATGCCAATTCCAGTTTCCAACGCCCTGCATGCATATATTAATGCTGCTTCTTCATCTATTGTACTTCTACAACTCTTCTTTCCATGCAATCTCCTACACGGGAATATTATCTCTTCCAGATATCTCCCCACTCGCCCTACCTCGACCTCCTCTCCGTATCTCTAACCGTCCAAGTAACCCCCTCGTCCCTCACCCACGCACCCTCCAAATCTTCTCGAGATGATCCCGGACTGTCGATTTCTCTATCCTCTCCCCTTGCTTCCTTATTGTATTCCTGTTCTTCCAAGAGCACCTCATAACCCTGCTGCGCGGGTCTCCTATCAAACCAATACTGCAACCTCGTTCCCTCCCAAAGTCTTTGCCAGCCATTTCCCCCACTAACTCCCGTCGCATATGCCCTGTCGATTTTCTGCAAACTGCGGTAGAAAAGCGAAAATGCAAATGCACTATAAGCGAGTCCACCCAAAAGATCGATCCGCCAATGGTGACGCAAATACATTGTCGAAAACCATTGCCATAATACGTAAAACCCGAGTATAAAAGTTCCTTTCCTGGAGTAGCGGCCCACGAAGAAGAAACAGCAGCAGCTGAATGCTCCATGTAGGGAAGGAAATGCGCCGAAAACCAAGGGAGAGGCTTTGAATGCATTGGCGTAGATGTGGGTTCCGAGGACTTTGTCGACGCGCACGAGACCAGCGGCGGAACCGGGCATACTGTAGTTTCCAGGTGGGAGAGGATAGCCGTATTGGTCGCCATACCAAGGAGCAGCCGAGGGGAAGGATAGATGGGTCATGATTCCTAGACAGTTTTGAATACCAAAGGACCAGGCGAACATTGATACAACTCCAGGGGGTGCAAATAGCCAAAGCCAAAAGGCGGCCAAGAAGGGAGAGATGAAGTGAATAACACCATATGATAGCCAAGCGAAAACATCAAGGGGTTCGGAGAGGTTATGGGAAAGTGCGTAGAGGATATTGAGGAGTAGAGGAGGCAGTCCAGCGATTATCGATATCTTCTTTCGTGTGAGTGTATACATCCAAAGTATTCCAATAACCGAACAGGTGAATTGTGATGCAAGACCGAACATTGAAAATCCAAAAACTCTTCTATCCAACGCTTCGAGGTAGTTAACATCAATCAATGGCCGGATTGAGGAATCGATTCGCCATGCTTGGGAAATCGAATTAGTATGGAAAGGTATCAATTGAGGGTAAATCTGAATTTACCATTTTTGAAAGTAGTTATCCATATGAGAATAAAAGTCATGTTGATTAAAATATGTCTAAGTAAACCAAAAAATGAATGTCTGCACACATGTTATTAGTATTTTTCTCGTCAGATCATACTGAAAAGTAGAGGTTTTCCCGGAATTTGATTCGCCTACCTATTGAGTAGAGTTCTGTATATGTGAAGGAAAAAACGCCCAACGGCGTCAAAGACACCCGCCATGATTACCAGGAAGCAGGTATCAAAAATGAAGATGTATAGAGAATGAAAAAGGAAGATAGGGATTGAAAAGAAAATAGAAAAGAAATGCAATTAAGGAAGTACTTTAGACCGCGGCCCATAGAGCCCTAAGGAAAGTTAGCAAAGACTGGGATATAGTAGCGTTTATGACGTCCACAATTATGTCAAAATATAGATTAGACTGATTCTAAAATAATGCTTAAAGCAAATCAAAGAAATGCATGGCATTGATGGCAATGCTGCCCATTGGATCAATTTCCATAAGATATCAACCCCCTTCACACCATTCGATGTACCTACATGTTCATTTTCCAAAATTCCCGGTTGTGACTTATTTGGGCTGTGCTTGTGTACATCCGATGAAGAGAGTGGACACCGGGTTTGAATGGTCATGCTACCAAAGTAAGTACATACATACTTTATAGGAACTATACCTAGTCCATGGCGATTTCCCAACGTTCTTACATATGATCAGTGGTTACTCGTGTGCCTTGCAACTTGAAAAGGGGGAAAAGAGGACTCGGTACAGAGTACATGTATGTAATGTGTACGGAGAGTGTACGGACTATGGAATACCGGTATATCAAGCACAGCACATGTTCCACAACACCGATGGATGGAAAAGTTAAATAAAGGAATCCAAGGTTTGTTGCAAGTAACAAGCGTCTCATGTTGAGGGGTCCAAATTAGCCCGCGTTGATGGTGTCGGTGTGTACATCGTATAGGGAAATAATATGAGTGGGAAGCCAAGGAGATTGCCAGTTATGCTTCCTCGGCAATCCGGAGCACTGAACATTATCCACTCCATGATTGAGTGATTGGGGTAGAGTTGGTTAGGTAATCACATGGTAAAATGGGGGAACTTCTTGTCCGAGAGTTTGTCGGATTGACTCGTGAGTCACGAACCAAAGCAGGAAGAGATTAGGTATTGAAGAGGAGTGAGTGAAGTTTGAACATGTAACTGGATTGGACCGGATACGCGTGTTTATACAACCTTGGACTTGGATCGGGCAATTGACTCGCCTTCAATATCCAATTCGTCGGTGAACACTGAATACTACCTTGTCCATTGTGGGAATCCTGGCCATTAGGTATGGTATCCCAAGAATATATACTTTCATCTCGCAGTGCATGCATAAACTGCTGCGGAATTGGAGTAGCTCGTAGGTTTTATCTGTACCTAGCTCGCCTAGGTGCTAGGTGGGCATGTCGAATTGAACCAGTGCAAGGATCAGATGGATGGCCTGCTCGTTACATATCATGAATTGATATCGGATTCGGACTCGCATTTTCGTACCAAGTTATCTCCCGTTTTTGAACTTTGAAGTAGGTATCTAGTAAGTTGAAAGTAACGTAGAAGTAGCACTGTCTAGACTCTGGATATCTGGCAACCTGGAATTGGCTCTGTCTGGACTCTCTGTCTGTACTTAGTAGGTAGGTAGATAGTAGGTAGGTAGATAGTAGGTAGGTAGTAGGTAGGTAGTAGGTAGGTAGTAGGTAGGTAGGTAGTAGGTAGGTAGTAGGTAGTAAGTAGGTAGTAAGTAGGTAGGCAGTAGGCAGGATGTACTTGTAGGATGTAGCAGATCTTGACCTGAATATAAAGTTTTAAGTACATACAGAGTAACCTTGTTGTAGCCGAGCCCATATTTAGAAGGTTGTCGCGTGGTCGAGATCTTCTTGCCTTACCTTACCTCCTTACCTTATCTAGGTAGGTAATCATCATGAAAAGGCGAGTGAGGTTCGAAACGGAAAAAAGCAAACACAATACCAATCAGAGTAAAGACAATAACAATAACAACCTCCAGCTTACCTTACAACAATCATTAGCCTTTCAAAATCTGACATTTTGGTTGCAGATTCACAGCCTTGTCGTGGCTGACGCCTTCCCGCTTAATAGCCTAGGTAGGTAGGTTATACAGACAGAGTAAAATCTTCACATTCACATACGGTAACCTCAAAGAACCTGGGAATATATCACGTCGCCACTTCAAAGAAACCCACCAATTGCTACACAACATTCATCACCCTCAATCTCTCTAATCATGGCAACAGCGCAACCAGGTCAAAGCAAATATGTAACACTCGTATCCTGCGATGGATTCGAATATGTCGTTTTGAGAGAAGCTGCTTGCACCAGTGTTGCGATTAAGAAGATGTTGGATCCATCCAGTTTGTTTGCCCCTCCTTCAAGAAATCTAACTTTGTCCATAGTTGGTTATTATTACACTTGAACCAATACTTATTTCATTCATCTACAGGTGGTTGGGAAGAGTCTCAGACAGGAGTCTGCCGTTTCTCAGAGATCAGGTATGCCCAACTTTTTCCTTTTATTATCCAAGTCCACATACAATACGATTCTCCAATTCCTCGATAAACGCAAACACGACAATACTCTGCACCCTTTACATCACCCACCCAGCAAGGAATAAAAAGGCGTCGGTGATGATAGAAGCTATTTCGATACAGACCCTCTATTCCACTTTGGCATTGCCGCGGACTGAATGGTCGTTTTTTTACACTTGATCTGAGACCCGCTTTTAAGCCTATTAAGCCTACTTAAATTTCTGCTAGATTTTTTTTCTCTTCCACCTCCATAGCTTTACTTCCTTCCTCATCCATCCACCATCAACCATCTACGAGTAGACCTTAGATGGATGGCATTATATGATTAGCCAACCCTCAATGGCAACATCATCTTGTCTAACATGGCATTGCTATAAAATACTATTCAATATACTAACCACAACTTTAAAATAGTGGTGTCGTCCTTGAGAGAGTCGCCGAATACTTTTACTACAACTACAAGTATCGCAACTCGGAGAATGTGCCAGACATGGAAATTCCTGCAGAGTTGTGCCTTGAGTTGTTGATGGCAGCCGATTACTTGGACAGTTAGTATTCGACTACTCTCGGTCTTGTCGACATTCTTTACTAATACGTATCCTCTCAGCATAATGCGTCTCTCAAATCGGTCTAATGGCTACGATGGCGTTTGCGAATACTCGGGATGAGAAAATATAGATGTGGGAATATGGAGTCGATAGGAAATGAATTGTTCGACCTGCTATCCTTTCATGAACACTTTGAATACGCGTGTCTTTGTGCACCCCATTTGAGCATATGCGGTTTTCCCTAATACACCCTGGGTTCACACGTCTATAGATGATGGCAGATCAAATCTTTACTTCCTCACATAACTCCTACCTCCTCTTCTTCAAAGGAACGTAGGTTTAGATGATGGAAACAAATGCATTCCCACTTGGCTTATTTCATTCGCGTCACCATTTATTTTATTTTCTACTTCTCACTAGGTTGAGGACTGACTGGAGGATGTATAGCTTCTTTCAATTAAAATTAAAAATTCATCACATTCTACCAAAATGCACTTTGCACGGCATATCTTTTGACATGTGATTCGATTGATTGACCTCATTTTCTTTCCATGTTGCAATACCTACCTACCTACTAATTAGGGACTATCAAGAAAGTACCTAGGTAGATATCGTTCAACTTCATGTTACATCTGGGAAATCAATCACCCTAGGCAATAATGCTGTCGAGCCGTTTCACTTCATGATTATCCTCACCCACCATCCCTACCATCTGGAAGTTCAGACGAAGTAAATGTCACCACCTCCTTCGCTTCAGATCAAGACACCACGGATGTGTCATTAGGCGAAGTCCTCCGTGTTTCACAAAATCACAGGTAAGAGTAACCGCCTTCTCGTCTGATGTCGCATTGTGTTCATCTCTATAAGTTGAGATGATTTCGGCGGAACTTGTACTGTAAGCTTCATCTTTTAATCTATTTTCTGAGCGCTGGTCGACTTTGAATTTGTAGATTTTAATTTTAACTTTCATTTCGTAATTCTTGTTGTTTTGCAAATTTAATTGGGTGCGTATTACATACATTCTACGACATATTACCTTCTACAGTTATGAAGACATCAGCTATTCTACTTCTCGCCATTCTCGGCATGACATCCGCTTCCGTCCTCAGTACTACGAATGTCGCCACCGTTCTCGCAGGCGTAACAGCTCCATCCTCTCTCACCATACCGGCCGATGCTATGGCAGCTATCACTAAACTTGGCACTGGCGGTGCAAATGCCGCTTCATTGACCGCTGCCGAGACTGCTGCTATCAGCGCTTGTACGGATGCTGGCCGAGCGAATAACACAGCTTCAAAGGCCAATCTCAATGATGGAACTGGAAGTGCGGGAGCTATTGCTTTGTAGGTTTAAATTTCGCATCATCCTTCTGGATGGATTGAGGAGGAGTTGTGAAAAAACATGATTTTAACGTCAGTATAGTGTAACGAATAAAGTCACGACTCACGCATGCGAAACTGCAGGTCAACAAATAGCACTGGTTACTTCGGGGACGGCGGCAAGTGATACAGATGTCAATCTGTTGATATCAAATGTGGGAGTTTTGAATGTAAATACCAAGGCTGCAGGAATTACTTCGAAGCGGGCGGTGGCGTTTGCCAGTTAAAGTTTTTATATTTTGCTGGAATTACGATAATAAACATTATTTCCTATCACCAACTTTAAAGATTGAATTAAAAAAGCATTTTATGAGTGTCATTTACCTATTCTTTCGTGTTGCATCTTTAATTTTGAAGATCTCACAATTGGCATCAGTCGCCAGGACTTTTTGCCGAGATCGGGAAACCCCACTTCTCGAGCGCCGGCGGGGTATCAAGAACGTGCCGGCAACTCAAGAAGATAAGATATGTAATTCATTGCTATCGATCAATGACCAAGTACTTCTATTCCTAATGTATTAGATCCTTTTAACTTCTCCTCTTTCTCCTTTTATTACTCTCTTTCCTGAAATACTCTTTAGAATCTAAAATAAACAACAACTACTCTCTTGCCTCTTACCACAACAATGGGCGATATTCAACATCTATCAACAGATCAACACTATGAGGAAATAGCCGCAATTGCTCAAAAACGTCGAGCTGATGCTTTACCTAAAGAATATCTTCTTCCTGGGGAAGTCTTGGAGAATCTTCCACAAAACGTTACCGATGTTCCAAGATCATCTGGTCATTTCACCCCTAAGGAATTAGAAATTATTGAAACAAGTGCGGAAGATATACTTCAAAAAATTAGAGAGAGGATATGGACATCGGTAGATGTTACCAAGGCGTTTTCCAAAGCTGCTGTTGTTGCGCATCAATTGGTTGGTTATCTCATACCTCCGAAAACAAACAAAGACGCCTACTGACCATGATCACAGACAAATTGTTTGACGGAAATTCTCATTCCTGAAGCGATCAAACGAGCCGAGTTTTTGGATGATTATCTCGCCAAAAATGGTGATGTAATAGGTCCACTCCATGGCCTTCCAATATCTCTCAAAGATTGCTTCATAACACCACCCCATCCATCTTCGATCGGTATGGCGTGTTATGCCAATGTTCCCACCAACCCAGAAGATGAAACGGTTTTAGTATCTTTGTTAGCTAAACTTGGAGCCGTTTTTTATGTCAAGACGGCAGTCCCGGTTGCAATGATGATGATGGAGACAATTTCGAATGTATGGGGTGAAACGAATGGTGCATATCATACAGGCACCACTTCGGGAGGAAGTTCAGGAGGTGAAGGCGTACTTTTGGCTATGAGAGGTAGTCCGTTGGGGATCGGAACGGATATTGGAGGGAGCATTCGGATCCCAAGTGCTTTTAATGGTCTTTTTGGATTGAAACCCACGTATGTATACATAATTTCCTTTCAAAACAGACAGAAAATATTGACAGTAGATCAACAGTTTCGGAAGATTTCCCATATATGGTACTAAATCGGGTATATCGGGACAAGATTTCATCTACTCAAATAATGGCCCCATGTCTAAATCCCTCTCAACCCTTCAATTATACTGTAAAGCCGTTCTATCCACCTCTCTCTCACCCTGGCTATACGATCCCAAATGTCTCCCCATCCCCTGGCGAGAAAACAACATCCAACCTCCCGGCCGCAAACTCCGCATTGGAATCATCTCCGACAACGATGGGGAAATTAGTGTTCATCCACCTATCGCCCGCGGTTTGGCACTCACAAAAAAAGCCCTCGAAGCAGCCGGCCACGAAGTCTTCGAATGGGAACCTCTAGATCATCCCGAAATGGCAAAAGAAATGAATAATTCCTTCTACACCCTCGGCGGCGCCGCTATCCTCGAACTGACGCGGAAACACGACGAGCCGGTCTTTGAAAGTATGAAAAACTATGAATTTGCCTATGATCAGGGTGAACATGGAACTTTAGGACCTACAAAATTACGAGAAATGATTACGCGTAGAAATGCGTTTCAAAAAGCATATCTGGATCGATGGACCCGTACAGGAGCGGATGGAAAGGGAGTCATGGATGCGATTGTTATGCCTGCGAGTCCTTGGACGGCTCCCAGACTGGGGGTTACGCAAACGGAGATTTTCTGTGTGAATTATACGGGGGTGTGGAATTTGTTGGATTATCCGGCGTGTACGTTTCCGGTGACGTTTGCGGATAAGGAGGTGGATGGGAAGAGAGGGGGGGAGTGGAGGGGGTTGAATAGGAAAGATGAGTTGTTGCAGAAGGATTATGAGGAGGAGTTTTATCATGGGACGCCAGTGGTGTTGCAGTGTGTGGGGAGGAGGTTGGAGGATGAGAAGGTGTTGGAGATGGTGGGGGTTATTGGGGAGGCGTTGAGGGAGTTTGAGGGTTGAGGGTTGAGGGTTGAGGGAAAGACAAATGGGAAAGAATGAGTAGGGATAGAGATAGTCAGACGAACAATCTAGATTAATCGAAGAACAAAAACCCGACATCTAAATCAAATCTACAAGATAATTTCCTTACTTTTCCAACCCCATTACCCAACAACGTCCCAATACCTATCCATACGAAAATTCACCATCTCCATTAAATCCATACCTCATTGAAAAGACGAACATGCAGATAGGTAGGTAGGTAGTGACCCTAGATATCACATGTATGCCGCTCATCTCCTCTTTCCTCGCGAAAAAGATGATCTTACATACACTTCACCACCACTTACTTGCCTATGTATCTAATTGTAATAAAACAGGAAAGCGCACAAGCATGACCCAACAAATTTCTCAAACACTATGTACACGAGGAGAAGTCACTGAATTCAAGAAATGGGAAAGAGTGTTTGGGTTAGAACTTTACGTTTGTTATTTTTGGAGGTTTTTTTTATTTTCTACTTTTTTTTTCTTTGATTGTTTTTCTTCCTTTTTTTGTTTTTCATCATTTTCTTCCCATTTTTTTATTTTCATTCTTATCCTTTTTTTCTGGTTGTCATTTTCATCCTCTTTTTTGCTGCTTTATGATTCCCTTCGCCAAGAAGGAAACCTGTTCGGCGCGGATTTGTTGGGTCTCGTGTTTCCATTTCCGCTTTCTGTGGTAGCGAAGGGACTACTGGGTGGTGGTGGAGGATGGTGGGTGGTGCTGATTCAACAATTGATTTCCAATCGGCGGGAGATTGATCTTGTTCCCTCAAACAAAAAACGTGTGTGGTTCATCTTCTGTTGTTTTGCGCATGAATCATCTCTTGTCTCTCATCTGATGCATGCGCTCTGGGAACTGAAAGATTCTCAATCTCTTCCAACTTCAGAATCTGTATCTTGTTCCGGATCCTTCTCCTTCTGCTTGGCTTCTATTCTCGCTAGAGAAACGATTTATAAATTGTTCTCTCGCGGCCAAACTAGTCGCCTTTTTGTGCAATTGTTTTTGAGCTTGTACCACCTCTCCCTCTTTTTCGAGGACCCGCTGTTCTCTTCGGGACATCTGCTCTTCTTTTTCGTGGGCCTGCTCTTCTCTTTCGAGGACCTGCTCTTCTCTTCGCAACATCTGCTCTTCTTTTTTGAGGGCATGCTCTTCTTCTTCGAAAAACTGCTCTTCTCTTTCGCGCATCTCCCTCTCTCTTTTGCGCATCGCCTCTTCTCT